AAAAGAAAAGAACTTTAATGAAAACTAAAAAATAAAGTCCTTCATCTTAATATTACGAATTTGGAATATGAGTAGTGATAAACAACATTACAATAAAAAGAATATGGGTATCAAACAATTTCCAAAAGATTGTATCTCACAGGCATCAATAATCACTTCTATTGACCTTTCAAATAATGAGATTATAGTTTGTTTATATTTTGCAAAAGTCTTAAATAATCTGAATAAACTAATAACAGATAGAATCTCCCTAAAGAAATGGGACCTTTTAAAGTATTAACTCATTTCAGAATGATGGCAAATAAAGTATCATCTTTGCCACTTAGTTTTACTACATTAACTAATCTTAGACATCTTGATTTAAATGCAAATTGTTTTACTGAATTTCCAACACAAATAACATCATTAACGAATTTAGAAGAAATCCAAATGATTCAAAATCAATTAACATCAATACCTGATTGTATTGGTAATTTAGTTAAATTACAAAGAATTTCATTTACTGCCAATTTTTTAAAATCGTTACCAAAAGGATTAGCTAAATGTGTTGATATGAATTATATTGAATTAACAAGTAATGAATTTGAAGAATTTCCTGACGTAATTTGTGAATTAAGAAAAGTAACAATTTTAATGCTTCAACAAAACCGAATTAAAGAAGTACCTGATTCTATAAGTAAATTAGAAAAATTAAGTGGATTATATTTATCATCTAATAGTTTTGGTAAATTTCCTGAGTCAGTTTGTACTATTCCTTCATTAACACAATTAGAATTAGATAATAATAACTTTGTTGATATACCTGATTCTCTTTCACAATTAACAAAGCTAAAAACATTAATTATTAATAAGTCATTTATTTCATGTTTAAATTCAGTAGATATGATGTCAAATTTATGTCAAATTGTGTTAAGTGATACAAAATGTATGTTTCTTCCAGACCTTTCACAAAATAGTAAATTAACATCATTAAATGTTATTCGTGGATATTTAAATGAAGTCAAATCACTTCCACCAAATTGTTCATGTAGATTTTCTAATAATCAAATAGAATCAATTGAACTTCCAGAAAATGGAATTCTCCAATATATGATTCTTTCAAATAATAGATTAAAAGTATCACCAAATCTTTCAATGCTTTCTAAAATTTCTCGTCTTGATATTTCTCAAAATAGAATTACTCGATTTAATGAAAATACATGTCATCCTACTTTACAACAATTAGATATTAGTTGTAATCCATTAGTTGAATTTCCTGTATGTATTACTAAATGCCAATCATTAAAAACTCTTAATCTTTCTGATTGTCATTTATATGATATTCCCTCTAATGTTCTTTCTTCATTAAGTAATTTAGAAACTTTATATATTGGATGTAATCATCTTAGTTCATTAGAAAGTCTTTCTGTCTTAAAAAAGTTGAGAGCATTATATTTACAGTCAAATAATCTTCTTCATTTTCCACAAAGTATATTTGATTTAATTACATTAAAGACACTATTTGTATCAAATAATTATATCACAACTATTCCAAATCAAATCTCTCAATTAACTCAATTAGAACAACTAGACCTTTGTTGTAATAGTATTTTAGATATTAAACCATTAACTAATATTCCTAGTTTAAAAGAAATTGATGTTTCATTTAATTTTATTAAACAAATTCCATCAGAAATAGAATCAATGCCAAATTTAATAGCATTTAATATCATTGGTAATGAACTTGAAACTCATTGTAAAATTCCTCATTTAGAAAAGAAATGTGAATTTTTCCAAATACAACGTCCTGTATTAAAAACAAGTAAAGAAGAACCAACATCTGAAACTACTTTTATTGCATGTACTGTTTATAATGATAAAAAAGTGGCTAAACCATTTTCTATTCCAGTTGATCTTAATCCACCATTTACTTTAAAAATAGCTAATGGTCTTAAAAATGAAGATGAATTTCCTATTGACATTGGAATTTCTGAAATGAAAGGAAGAAGACCTTCTATGCAAGACACTTCTTTTGTTATAAAAAATTATTTAATGAAAGGATATCATATGCTTGGATTATTTGATGGACATGGAGGAGATACTGTATCAAAACTCTCATCCGCTTTATTTCCAACTATTTTTGCAAACCAACTTCAAAGTCAAATTAAAAAAAGTTTATCTAAAAAGAAAATTGATCCAGAAAACTATATTGACACTTGGATTAAAACAGCTTTTATTGAAACATATTCAACAATTAATGAATATGTTGAAAAACAAAAATTCACAGATGGGTCTGCTGGAATTATTATATTAATTACACCTCAAAAAATGTATTGTGCTAATTGTGGTGATTCAAGAGCATTATTAGTTCAAAGAAATACTGAAAATCCAATGTCTGTTGATCATAAACCAACTAATCCAAATGAATTTAGAAGAATTAGACAAAATTATGGTTATGTTGATAAAAGTGGTAGATTAAATGGTGAGGTTGGTCTTGCACGTGCATTAGGTGATCTTAAATGTCATCCTGCTTTAACTTGTGAACCAGAAGTTTTGACTTTTAATAGATCAAGTGAAGATCAAGCAATTGTTATTGCATGTGATGGATTATGGGATGTTTTTGATAATCAAACGGTTGCTCGTATGACACGAGAACGTTTAAAAACACCAAGAATTGCTGATATAGCTTGTTTCCTAAGAGATGCTGCTCATTTCAATGATAGTGGAGATAATATTAGTTGTATCGTTGTTCGCTTTTAAATTTAATTAACTTTTCATATCTTTTTGTTTCTTTTTATACATCTTTTCTTATATACACAAGAATGAAGAATATCATAAATAAATAGATATTTCATTATTGTAGTACTTTACATTTGTCATAACAATATTTTATTCTTTAAAAACTTTGAATAAATTCTTTTTTT